TCAAAAATTTTAAATTATTTTCAAACTATATCACTTCATTATCTTGGTGAATGATTACAAATTTCTTTAAAGGATTGATGATTAAAGTAGTTCGGTGGTATGTTTTTAGTTTGATTAGTACGATTAAAAAAGAAAATGTATAGGGAGATAGACTTATTACGTCATCAATATTAAAATTAAACTAGTCCAAGAAATATACTGCCATATTATGTAATCATTTAGAAAAGAGCTTATCATAAGAACAAATCACTTACATAATTCAAAACAATGTAGGATAAAAACTTTCACCTGACCTATTAGAAGTTACATATTTTTGCTATATACAAACGTTTGTTCAACCTAACAAGAGATTACACAACTAACCTATGGTTATGCAACTCCTTTATCAAACAGATTTTCAGTTTACGACTGAAATCTATCGAATAAATTTTAATTCACTTCCTTAAATAAGTTGACTTATTTTTAGGAATGGGAGTTATGTCATTTGATTTATTGGGATGCACGTAATTTATAAACACTATAAACATGTTTATCACTATCAACCTACTAAATAACCATTGCTGATTCATTAGTCACGAGGTTAAGCGTTTGTGCGTAAAACCGAAGGCTGTAGGGTCGAGTCCTGGGGATGAGATCATCCATACGCACTTCTGAAGAGTCCCATAATAAGATTAAAACGGGCGTCCAATGCTTCCATGTTTTCAATGGTGGTCTAATATTGATCGTAATGGTAATGATACCTAATATTGATCGATTCATGACTTAGATGAAATTCAAAAATTTCATTAACACCATACTGAACACTAATTTATAATATTCCACTACCTTTCATTCATTATTTCCTCCTAAATCGAAGACAAAATGACAACTGCTTATGGTGAGCACGATACTACTCAGAATTATAATGATGTTAGACAATATCATTTATCTTGAAATTAAGCAAATGGTTAACCAATCACTATTCAACTATTGAATGACTTGTTTTATTATCAAATGTTATTTATATATATGAGGTTGTTATGTGACATTATTAAAAATAAAGCATTAATCTATAATCAAAATGGGTTTTGTGGAGATTCTTAGGAATTTCACTGGTTGAAATCATGGATCAATTGAAGCTAGACCACCATGGAAAACCTGGAAGCACTGGACGGTCGTTTCGTCCTAGTATGGGACTCCTCAGCAGTGCGCATCCACGATCCCGCACTCCGCAAGATTCGAACCCAGGACCTGTCATTCTCGCGCCAGGCGCTTAACCAACTAGACCACTGAGCCGGCCGGCATCCAATGGTGTTAATGTCTAACTTCAACCAATCCACAAAGTTGCGCCACCGTACACCATTGTCTTCAGTGAGTTGATATCTCACGACAGATCTCGTTGAACTCCACTGGTAACGACTTCTCACTAGAACTCCAGGAGTATCTCCTGAAGTCAGTCACTAGTGGGCAGGTGATTCTAGGTTTTCCATGGTGGTCTAACTTCAATTGACTCATGATTTCAATCAAAAACTTAATAATCTCCGCAATCCTTAAACTGATACTAATTAATTATTTGTTTCCCTAAGTGAATAGATTTCAATTAATTAATTCTCACTTATCGTTATATTCTATCAACATTATTTCAATATAAAACAAATCAACTAGTGTTTTATCCCAACTGTCTACTAATTTTAGATAAAGTACAAACTTAAATAGTATTACTAAAATGAGTGAAATGAAATGAAACTACCCAAGGAAAGAGTATAAATATCATCCCATCCCTTTATATTGTTTGATTGAGTAAAAATTTGTGCTCAATTTCGTATATACAATATGAGTTTTATTTTTCATTAAAAAAAACGATTGAATTTATCCAATTTTATAGCAGTTTTAATTACACTGATAAGTTTATTAAGATTTATATACTTCCAATGATTTTACTGTTATCATGTCAATAACACTATCTATGCGTGTGTATTATTGATCAACTATTAATATTATAAATGATTGTTGAAACATGTTGTATTAGACATTTGTTTGAAATGAACATTACTCTAGGGCATTTGAAGAGTTCATTGAACAATGATAAAATTATAACGACTTCTCACTAGAACTCCAGGAGTATCTCCTGAAGTCAGTCACTATTGGGCAGGTGATTCCAGGTTTTCCATGGTGGTCTAGCTTCAATTGACTCATGATTTCAACCAGTGATATTAATCTATAGTTTTATTCTTGACAAACAGTTAACAATTCTATATTGTAGATTCATCTATTTACAATTTATAAAAATAAAAATGTAATTGATGCAAGCTATTGAGATGAATATTTTCACCGTTAAAATATTTTTTAATTGTCAGGTGAAAATACAAAAGCCAATAAATATCAATTCAATATTTTACACTATTTGAAAATCATTGAAATTTATTGGCTAATTACATGAACATACAAATTGTGTTGTATTATTATGCACAGTATAATTTAATTTGCAAAGTGTGAAAAAGTAGTAAACGGAATCGTAGATGAGCACTACTGAGAAGTTCCATACTATTACAAAACGACCTTTCAGTGCCTCTAGGGTTTCCATGGTGATTTAGCTTCAATGGACTCATAAATTCAACTATTAAATTAATTAATTAATTAGTTCCGAACTATTCTGTTTTTATCAGATTTAACTTAATAAACAAAAGCTAGAAACTGATAATCATAAAAATAACAATGAAAAATACAAAATAAAAAAGTAATTTGAAAATATTTTACATTGATGAATTTCTTTGTATCATTCCACAACCTATAAGAATGAATCAGTGTTATATCCCGATGAGAATTATGAATGGTAACTCCTAAGAACTATTTATGAAGCAATACGATGCATATATTTCTACTGTATAATTGTTAAATAGCTAAATTATACATATTCATTTTCCGCTTATTATCAGCTTTATTTTGACACATAAACTATTATTATACGATTTACTGTTCTTGAGTTATGCCCAGTCAATTAAATAGAGTCTCCCACTTTCACAGCCACTTATGGTTAGATATTGTACAAATGTTATTTTCTATTTTGTAGTACGATATGGTCTGTTTGGTTTATATAAAAACCCAGTATGTTTGAAATAAATGATTCATATCGTGGAAGCTGAGATTAATGCTCTAGACTTAACAGGCAGGGTTAGGCAGGAAGAAGAACCGATAAAGATTCTAGACTGCTCATATGGATTTTATGAATCATTGGTCTGGTCTATAAAGCACTATTCTCTAATTGGCGGTATCATTATGTCATATATTGATAGAGACGCAAGGTCACAAGTTATAACAATCATACAGTTGTTGGAGTATTTCTGATGGCATAAAAGAACAAAAAGTTTAATTATGATTACATTAATTCATTTATATGAATAATTAAATTCCAACACTAATTTTTAAGCTTATTCGTTTAAGAATTTATATCGATTTCGCGATTCAAATAACTTCTGGTTTACTAAGAATCTATTCTAAATGGCTTTGTGTGAAATACGATATTGTTTCGATTAGTTATATAGTCTTGTTACTCAATTTTGTTCCAAATGGTCTCTCAATTAATTTGCTTATTTATTAATTCGATATTTGTAATAAAAGTAGACTGGGAATTCGTTTCTTAAAATACCATTGAATTTCAGTGAAGAACACTCTCTCGACATATTTGTAAAATATTTATATTTTAATAGTTGATATCATGAGTCAATTCAAACTAGACTACCATGGAAAACCTGAAAGCACTGGACAACCGTTTCACCCCATTATGGAAATCCTCAAAAGTGAGCATCACGATTCCGACTCGCGAGATTCAAACCCAGAACCTATCGGTCTCGCATATGAACACTTGACCTCTAGACCACGGAGTTGACCGGCATCCAACGGGGTTAATATCTAACTTCAACTAGCCCATGAAATTGATCGACATATCCATCATTGTCTTCAGTGAGTTACTATCTCATAGCAGACTTGGTTCGACTCCACTGGTCACTGATTCTCCCCAGAACTCCAGGAAATATTTCTTTATGCCAGGCTCTAGTGAGCATATGTTATATATACTAAGCTATTTTTAAACTTTAATTTATTCCCAACGAAATACTCTATTTATTGTCAGGATGAAGCAAATGTGTAACTCAGTAATTTATTATATTGCTAATTAATGAAATAAATTCTTTTGACGTTGTAAATTGTAAACATGGATTTAGTTATTAATTAATTTATATCAGCTTTTGCTTTGTTCAGTATATTCAAATGTAACTACTGACCATATATAACACATTATATTTTCATGTACTTGGTAATTAGTGGTCGGAGCACAAATAAATCTTCATCTATACTCTTATCTTCTCCCTGGAATCGAGCCATAGCTTCAGTTGTAACAAGTAACAGTTTCTCCCCAATCATACCACATAACCGTTCCAGCATTTTGTCAGCTAAAACACATCAAAATGAAAAAATAAAAAATTTAAATGTAACAAATTCTTCAATGTATCTATTCAAATTCGGATCAACAAAAGTGAGTCTAATTATGGAGTATTTTTTTGTCATTTTAATTCTTTCGTGATCCGTAGTTGGTCATATTCGCTGGTTATGTAACAAATTTTGAAAGTCTCTTTTATTTTGTTTATGTTTTTGCTTACAAGCATATTTATCAATAAATGTAAACCATCAAAATATGAACTTACTTTAACCTAATGACACTGATTATTATCTTCAGTATTATACTTCACTATTTTTTATTAATAAAAAGGTATACGAAATGAGTACACCTGAAATAAAATTTATGATATTGGTTTCTTATTGGCTGGAGATTTTGGGAAAGAAAATTAAGACTGATGAAAGGGTATGAAAATAGAAGTGAACATATGAAACCATATTTACACGTTTAGAGGAATCCACTCGTGTCTATTCTGATTGGATATTAAATTGGACACGGGGTTGATTCACACGGACAATGCAGTTATATATATATATATATATTACTTATTCACTATTTTCAACACATAATGAATATGAATGATTGTCAGACAACAATGTTGTCTCCTAGCCAAACATCAACACATAGTGTAAATGATAAATGTAAAGCAAAAAAATACGGTCGACAGTCTACAATACCTCTGGAATATCGAGATCAAACAAGACGAGTAGGTGATACATTTATGTATACATTAGTGACATTTATTTTATAGAAATGTATTTACACCTTAACTAAATTTCAGTCTCTTTTATATAAGAAATATTTATATTGAATGGATTAGGATGAAAAAACTCTGATGGTCTGTAAGGTGGCGGGATTATAGAATACATTATTAGTTAAATTACGAAATGTAGTAATACAAGTAATCAAAATGACATGAATATAGTAATCTTGAATTAATAAGGTTTAAATATATAATATCAGAATACACTATCCTATCTATTGATTATGATGTAGTAATTATTGATAGTTTAGACATTCTTCCCCTCTTGAGTAATTGACTTTTGATAACTCGATAATTCGAAACCGATTTTTATTATAAACTAAACATCAGTCTAAAAAAACTATTGAGAATCGGATAACACTTGAAAATCGACAGATATTTGTCTCAGAATAAACAGCACACTCATTTATTTCTTAATAACTATTTAGATTAAAGCTAGAGCTTTAGGGATGGGAAATAAATTTAAGGATGAATCTGTCAAAATCATTGGATCTTTTTAAATGATCAAGTTTAAGAGTGAATTCATGAATTTTCAAAAAAAATCTATTCATGATATTTGAGTTAATTTCTATTTTTCCACGAATATTAGTTTTTTTGTCGAAAACATATAATATGTATCACTGTGTCAAATTATTATGATAATTAACCTCTTCTAACCACTTGGTTGGGTTTAGTGTTAAATTTATTATCAGAAGAGGTTTTTGTGGATATTATAGTAATTCAGTAGCTGAATTCATGAGTCAATTGAATCTGGACCATCATGGAAAACCTGGAAGCAGTGGACGGCCGTTGGAGTTAGATATTGGTATCATCGGATGCTGGTCGTCTCAGTGATCTAGAGGTTGAGTGCTCGCGCGCGAGGTCGATAAGCAATGGGTTGGAATCCCGCGTGCAGGATCGTGGATGCTGAATACTGAGGAGTCTCATAGTGTGATGGAATGACCGTCCAGTGCTTTCAGGCTTTTCATACTGGTCTAGCTTCAATTGAAACATGAACTCAACTATTAAATTTATATCACTATTACTATTAATTTATGCTTTCTTAACAGATCGTTTCAATCTAAAATAATACAGGAGAATTGAATCAAAAAATGACTACTAAGTACAAACAGATTAATTGTAAATGAATATCTTATGCAATAATGTAATTAGTACATTACAAAACAATACATAAACTAATTGAGTAATTTTTACTTATAAAATCCTATATAACTACCACTGACCTCAAACAGTTGTACCTTGGGCATTGTGGTCACCCTTTCAGGTCACTAAGACCACTTCTAACCCTAATTCCTTTACAGGTACCTCCAGAAGAACCCTTTCACTGTTTGGGCAACCGGGTAATGATAACCGCCCTCGTAACTCTAACAGCACTCATCATCACTGTATCCATAACTGACTGACTTTTATAAATCAAACATTAATTTCAAAAATAGAATTTTATCATTAATATTGTTTATCTGTTTTTTAGTTGAAAAAACAAAATCTGGAACGTCGTAGACGTGCATGTATCTCAGATAAAATGAATGCATTACATAATTTAGCTATGAATTTAATTGGTAAAGATGTAAGTTATTAGTTGTCGTTTTTTTTATTCTAATTTTTTATTTAAATAATGAGAATTTTTTAAATTTATTTTGAGTATTTTACTTAGTTCATTTAATATTTTATAGTCTAGATTTTTTAGGTTTATTAGTCTAAAATAAATAGGGTAATGAAAATTCTTATTTGTGCTATGAACTAAAATTGATTTATAATTGATTGACCACTGGATGGTAATCAATTTCATGTTTGTCAGATCCTTCTTAGTACAGATCGTATCCTATCGATCAAATTGCAATGTGTCCATTAGTCTAGATGACTCGACATTGCGTACACTATGTTAAGATAAGATGGTGGTTGAAGGTAGTCGGGGTTTACTGTTGACTACTTCCAATCATGAACTCACTAAGATTGATGTTCATCTATATTTAAATGACCTGTTGAATGAGAGTTGAAGAAAATACATCACGTCATTCTTTAAAATTGAATTAAAGAAACACATAATTTTATATTCATTTTCTATTGGTTGTTTGAACCTTCCTATTGATATTTAGACTTGCAACTGATCAATCTACTTTGAGATACGAGCATCCTATACGAATTGCCTTGATATTGTCATGAATTCATAAGTATTATCAGCACTTAAGTACATGGATGATGAGACGGTGTTTTAAGTGAACTACACTGGATTCCAGTCCAGGAGTGAACATCAACTCTGGAACTCAAATAGATCAAGCTGACGATTTCAAAACAGGATGAAACGCATGTCCAGAATTCCACTGACAACTACATCCCATATATTCCATATTTAAGTGATTAGTCTTATCACTAAGGGTATCCATAATATATATTCAATACACATCACTAGTGCTAACAATGTATATCTTTAAGCGAATATGCAATTTAATCATCGAAATATGTGTATGAATGTCTAACCAGTGTTATATATTTCGAATTCTATTACTAGTAAAGTCAACGGTATTAAGAGAAATTATATTAATGTATCTATAATTACAATTATTTTATAAGAAATTCTTCATCATTGAATTTTGCTGTAATCTAATAAAATTATTTGCTATGAGGAATAAGCATATTAGTGTTACTGTGGTTATGGAGTTCGAAATATTGAAAAAAGTGTAAGCGTTTCACATCACTAGCTTCGTATGAGCTGAAAAAGAACAAATTACTTACGTGTTATGGTTATCTATCTATCTATCTATCTATCTATCTATCTATCTATCTATCTATCTATCTATATATCTATCTATCTATCTATCTATCTATCTATCTACTATCTATCTATCTATCTATTATATATATATCTATATATATATATATATATATATATATAATATATATTATTCTATTAAATCAATACTTTGATAATTTTGCCATTTATCAGACGACTTTCATCGACTGTTATATTTACCAACCAAACAAGAAATGTATATCCTTAAATCGTGATATTTAAATACAAATCCATAATTCAAATCACATAGAGCTGATCTATTGACTATTTTATTTAAAATTATGTAATCTGATTTTGGCGCAGCTTCGTGAAGACAAGTATCCTGTATGTTTAATGTAGAAAACATGAATCTTTAGTTAATTTAATTTTTTAATAAACGGAATACATCCATTATGACATTAAGTAAGAAAGAAAGATTAGTTCAGCGAAGAGTTCTCTTTTCGGCGAATTCATTTTCAAAGCTGTACAATAACAAATATATATACTTATTTTTACAGGGTGATAATAATACTGATAATAAACTCCTGTTATACATGGTGACAGTGAGGTTAAATAAACAAAGGTATTAGAAAAAAAAATTTTTTTTTAAAACAAGGAAAGTAAATAATCGTTTGATAGTAAATGGCTTAAGTATTCATCGGGTAATTTTTAACTGCTCGTTTTTATTGACTACAAATATGAACAGTAATATACTTCATATACTGTAAATAATTTAAGATATATCATCAAAGTCGAGTCTATTTATTAAGGAATCGATATATTTTTAATGAAACATAAATGTCATATATTTAATACCGGGAGGGATATTTTTACATTCACGAACATGTTTAATTCAGACTTTATAGGAGCGTAATTGGAGGTATTAATTTTCATTATAACAAATATAACAAGACGATGTAACTGACCTCATGCCTTTTATTTTTAATTGATTTATGAGTTAAATTTGAGGTTAATCTGTCTATATATATAGCAGATAAATTAAAAACCATATAAAGTATACTGAATGGTCTAGATGACCTATTATTATAATCACTCCTTATGATAATCCTGTATAAATTGAGCACTTGTTTGAGCATATCTAATAAACATTTTACATACAGTATAAATGACCTAGGTTTGACTATAAAACTTGATTAAATAAATCAACATGTACAGATTGATTAATGCATTAGTTTTGGTGAAAATATTGTTGTTACCATAAGTTTAATATATAACCTGATCAATAATATGGAAGTACATCAATTTTTTTACTGGTGTTTATCCATAATAATTATCCACATTATATTGAGACACTAAGTTAGTGTCTCATATGTCATTCATGAATTTTAATAAATAATAATAACAATAATAATCGTAGTATCCAGATCATTAATTTGAATGGTAACTAGTAATATCTAGTATTCTCAATATCCACAAAAACCTAACTATCAATTTGTACATTTTAACGAATATACTACTTATCTATATATTAGAATTCATTAAAAGTGAGATCTTTTTAAGTAGCATCTATTATTTTTGTAACAATTCGGTATTTAACAACTACAAATCCATCAACAAGCAATACAGATTATAATCTGAAAGAAATTGTAAATATTTGATGTTACATGAATGATTCATTGTGAAAGTCAAGTGTATCCTGATGTTTACACATTAACATCATTTTTCAAAGTAGAAAAGTGTAGCTGTTACAGTCAAACTATTTTTTTTAAAGTGTAGGTACTTAGAACCATTGTTCATTAAATTCGTTTCTTAATTTTTTCTTTTAACAAACAGAAAAGCTTTCATTTTAAAATGTTCATTGAGTATTTTATCTGGTATATTTCTAAAGTTTAATACTAAACAATTATTTTGGAAGATGTTATTTCTTGGAGTTCTAGTGAGAAGCAGTGACCAGTGGAGTTCAACCAAGTATGTTATGAGATAGTAACTCACTGATGACAATGGTGGATGTGTCGTTCAATTTCGTGGATTCGTTGAGGTTAGATATTAACCCCGTTGGATGCCGGTCAACTCCGTGGTCTAGAGGTCAAGTGTTCATATGCGAGATCGATAGGTTCCGGGTTCGAATCTCGCGAGTCGGAATCGTGGATGCTCACTTTTGAGGATTTCCATAATGGGGTGAAACGGTTGTCCAGTGCTTTCAGGTTTTCGATGGTGGTCTGGTTTGAATTGACTCATGATTTCAACTGTTAAATTACTATAATATCCACTAAACCCCTTTCGGACTATCATGAAATTATTATCTCATACATATTCTCATTAGTAAATTGGACTTAGTTATATATTCTTTGAATATTGAGCCCCACTTTGTTGAATCCATATGACCAGTCAAGATTACAATCATTAACTTATTTCAATTCAAATCAATTATTAACATATATACTTATGGAAATATTTTCAATATCTACTTGAATATTTTTTTCAAAGATTTATTTGGTTTGAATATATTTTTCATTTAAAAAATTGACAATAGTTTGAAAACATTTAAGTAACTATGAGGAAGTTAGACAGTTGCTTAATGTCAGGTTAAGATTTCTCAGCAAGAGATTTAAACATTTACTAATTAGTAGTCAATACGTTTAAATCCAATCGGTATTGTTTACTTGAAACTCCCTATTGATGTTTAGGACTGCTAAGTGGATAACGCGAGCTGTGCTAGGTTCGAGTCCTAGAGCGAACATCAACTCTGAGATGCAGGTACATCCAACTGACAAGTCCAAAATAGGATGGAACGCGCATCCTGGATTTTACCGCTAGCCACTATCCATCTTTGCTTATAGTCAACATCTTTGTTATCGAATTCTAAACATACTATTTTGTCGATGAAAATAGTAGTTACATATATTTATTATTATTATCGTTATATTGGAACTTGATTTAAATGGATATGATTAATTATTTACCAGGTTAATTCATATTAAATCATTATTGTATTATTGTTTCTATTTCTTCAAACTATTAGCCAACAGAATATCATAAAATTGAAAAAACCGATATTCTGAATGTTTGTCACAGTGTCTTTAAAAATGTTGTGGCTATTGTCAACGAACAACCAGGTATGAATTGCAATGTTTCTTTAACAATATATATACTGATCTATAAAAGCTGCTTACATTTCTATTTTGTTAAAGTAGCTGATTAACTTGTCTTTGATTGAATTCAATTATTCGTTTTGTTGTTGAAATAGAAAGAGGAATTATCTTTGCTCAATTCATTGCCTATAAAATAAACTGTTTCAGTTAAAACTCAGACGATTTAAATCATTAATAATGAGCCATTCAAAATTAAACTAAACTATATGTAAATCAACTGTCTAACAACTTGAAAATTATCAGTTTTAATCAATTCACTCTGTTTCTTGATCATTCACAATAATACAGAACAACAGTCTGAGAAGAGACCAAGATTAAATTGATAGAAATGTGTTGTGTTTTTTTTGTTTGTTTATTTAAAGTTAATGAAACTTTATCAACAAATTTGAATAGATTGATCATGTAGCTTTAAGTGATTCTGTTAGTTTTATGAATTATTCTAAAGATATTTATTGGTTAGATCTAATTAAACTTCTTTATGTTTTAATGGTCATCATAATAAAAACTTCACAATTCTTTATTGACATGAATGGTATTATCTACAACTCATAATTCACAATTAGTTGTTAAGTAACAAATTCATTATCTTAACCAAAATCTGTATACTCTAATACACAATAACTGATCACTATGTCAACATTGAGATTTCAGATTATTATTGTATTAAAAGTAAAAAAATGACGTTACTTTAAAATTTATTAAAAGATTCCTTTCAATAGATCATTCCAAAAGTATATGACATCAATTTGTGAAACGAACTATTTTGATGAATAATTGTCTTTGTTCTCATAATGCTTTGATCTTTTCATCAAAAGATAAAGGTTAATCATTTAAATTGTTCGATCAATTAGTGTTTATTCATTTCTTTAGTGAAATCTTTTATCATTTAACAAGTACTAATTAATTTTTTCATTGAAATCATGAGTAAATTGAAGCTAGACCACCATGGAAAACCTGGAAGCACTGGACGGCTTTTTCGTCCTAATACGGGACTCCTCAGCAGTGCACATCCACGATCCCGCACTCCGCGAGACTCGAACCCAGGACCTGTCATTCTCGCACTAGGCGCTTAACCAACTAGACCACTGAGCCGGCCGGCATCCAACGGTGTTAATGTCTAACCTCAACCAATCCACGAAGTTGCGCGACCATCTTCCATTGTACTGAGGTAGACACTGGTCACGGCCGTCCAGTGCTTCCAGGTTTTCCGTGGTAGTCTAGCTTCAATTGACTAATGATTTCAATCAAAAACTTAACAATCTTCACAACCCCTAAACTGATACTAATTAATTATTTGTTTCCCTAAGTGAATAGATTTCAATCAATTAATTCTCACTTATCGTTATATTCTATCAACATTATTTCAATATAAAACAAATCAACTAGTGTTTTATCCCAACTGTCTACTAATTTTAGATAAAGTACAAACTTAAATAGTATTACTAAAATGAGTGAAATGAAATGAAACTACCCAAGGAAAGAGTATAAATATCATCCCATCCCTTTATATTGTTTGATTGAGCAAACATTTGTGCTCAATTTCGTATATACAATATGAGTTTTATTTTTCATTAAAAAAAACGATTGAATTTATCCAATTTTATAGCAGTTTTAATTACACTGATAAGTTTATTAAGATTTATATACTTCCAATGATTTTACTGTTATCATGTCAATAACACTATCTATGCGTGTGTATTATTGATCAACTATTAATATTATAAATGATTGTTGAAACATGTTGTATTAGACATTTGTTTGAAATGAACATTACTCTAGGGCATTTGAAGAGTTCATTGAACAATGATAAAATTATATATAAGAGCATGAATTCATCTAATTCTTAACCTTGGGTTTGTGAATGTATGTATACGCGGAGGGGGGGTATTTCATAAAGTCCAGTTTCACTGATTAGATATCAATTTCCTAGACGTCTGTTTTCATCAGGCAGTTGAAAACAGTTGGTTTGTCAAACAGAGAGACCTTAATATATGTGTGCATATGTGTATGACGGCGAGACAGAAATAAAGAAATACTAATAAAAATCTGAATATTTTTCAAACCACAAACAACATTGGATCTTTTTTTCATTCCGTCTGGCTATATTCCTTTGTAATTGATGATAGTTATAATCCGCGTAAACTTGTTTTACACATCAATTAAAAGATACAAAAATTGGAAGAACTTTTTATTATGTTGGAGAACGGTGTAATAAGTGTGACAATGGCTTAACTTTAGCTAAGTACTTTCTTATATGTTAAATATTGATAACTAATCAAATAATGTGTATGGTATACAGAGATATTGACCTTACTTGAAATGGCGCCAATTATGTTCTATATTCACCTTTCATTTTGATCAAAATGAAAAATAAAGGTCGTTGTTGAATGGAAAATAAAAATAGGCTCAAATTAAGATTCTCGAACTAACTTAGATTAAGGCATTCTGAAATAATTTTATGTAGACTGTATAAAGTATACACTACATAATGATCAAAATCACAATATTCAGACTTGATTTGGCTACAAGTGTGTGGTAAAAAATGTGTTTACGTTTTGGAGATTTAAATATCTGAAATAAAATGGTAGCAATCTTTATAAATATCTTTCTTATGATAGATCAATTGTCCTGTAAAATAGTTATTTGCCTAGTGACCAATGATCGGTTGAAGAAAAACGTTGAGTACAAAAATGTACTCATTGACCTACGCTAAAATATCACAAATAATAGTAAACCGATAGCTAATCATTTGAAAGACGTTCAACCAATATGGTATTACTATGAGTTACGTATCGAATAGCTACTAACTGGAAAAAAAACGCAAATGAAGTTTTTCGATTGTAGGTTCATTTTTACTAGACCTATCAAAAAGACCAATTAAATAGTTGTTATGTAAGTGCCCTATATTAAAAAGAAGGATTTTATATGGAAAAGAAAGGTTGATGTAGCTTTTCACAGGCCATAACACTCTTTAAATTACTGGAGATAACTTATGACAAGTGTCAACACAATTGACATATTCAGACACAAAATGTAATGCATTTTAAAAATGAATTAACTTTACTATGAGTCAATTATGTAATAAAAAAGTTCATTTGAGTAATATTCCATATTGTTTTTCTTTCGTTTTCTTCAGATATACTTGAACGTGTACATCAACTTCGTGATAAATTTTACGATAAATTAATCACAAATCATTCTAGTGGATCAAAAATAAACACAATATCAGTAATGATGAGAATAATAACAGTAATGAGAAATTTCATTTAAGCAATTATATTCCATATAATCATCTTTGAAAATATATTCGAATGATAATTCTAATGATTATGATATGAACAAACAATGTAATTCATTAAATACTTCCATTTCTAATGATATTTCATCGCAACTGACTAACCATAATTCATTTCAGTATTTCAATGCAAAACTTCATTCAACTCCTTTAATTTCAATGAAGACATTGAAAACTTCAACAAATAATAATAAAAATATTAAATCAGTAGTTACTACATCATATTCACAGTCTCTAGACAGTGGTATTGAAGATGTTGAAGATACACAATCAATAAATTGTACACAATCAAAACAGTTATTACAAATGTCACAACGAATATTTAAACGAAACTATTGTAATACAAATCAACCAGTGGAAAATGAAGTTTATGAACAAATAATTGATTTATCTTTTAAAAAACAGAAACAGACTAATCATCATCATTATCATGAAGAGATTCATCAAACTAAGGAAGAACAAAATGTTTGGAGACCATATTTAGATTGATGAGTTTATATTCTATCTGGCTTATTTTTCTATTTCATTTTCGCTTTAGTAACTACAAACCAAAAGAAGTATATTCAACTGGAAGAAAGCATCAATTTATTGTTATTTTTATACTTTTTGTTCAGTTTCATTCTTAATAATTTCACTTTTTCTCCCAGCAACTTGCCATATCCATTACTGCTTCACTCATAAAAAATTTCCATAAATAAAAAGAATAGTATTGATAAATTAATGACTATTTTCTCGAATTTTTGTATACTCTTTTGTAAATGAGCAGTTCAAATAGAAGAAGTGGTACGAATTTCATGATATCCAGAAGGATGTCGGTGGAGGATCAGTGTGATTCTTATGAATCGTCTTCGAAGAATCTTCTGCGAAATCGATTTTTGTAGTAAACCTATTTCTCTCCATCCACTCCAATCTCGAAGATTTCTTGCCCATATTAGTCAACGACAACTCCTTTAGGCGATACCAGGTTCATAATTATGGACATTACCATGAGCAACAGTTTGTGTGTAATACCCTTGTTTCTGACTGTAATGAAATTGAATGTAGCATCCAATGGACTGTCCCCAAGTTTAAAGTTACAGAACTAATGTAACCCTAAAATGTCTAGATTATCATTGGCGACGTAGCATACTCTAGTTGTAGCCACGCCATTCGGTAATATCCTGGATTACAGCTTCAATTAGCCAGCTGTTGAGTCGGTTAACAACAAAGTAAATTTCATTTTGTTTACATTTTGTTAACGAGGTAATTATGTCTGAGTCAGTATCAAACTTCTAACATATTCAGTAACCAATCACAATCCCTACATATTTCCGTGATGATTTTTTGGACATCTAGTGTGTAACAAAAACATAAGATTTCGCTAGTTTAAAGCACGAGCTAACTTGATAGAAGCAGCTACTTTTATCATTACAGTAGGTGTCTTTACGTATTGGAGAAAATTTGTGATCTAATATAATGAAATGTGATCATATTTATTTATCTTGCTTACATAATCATCAAATACGATATTCCATGAATGGACCAAAAGTGGAAGGTGGCTAAAAGTTTCGCATCATTGTAAATATCCAAACAGAACTAACTTAAGTTTAGTAACCTTATATTTATGAATAGTAGCTGATCAAAATGTATTTTAAAGGGTTAACTTTCGTCGTGAAGTTTCACGTTTTACTAATGAGAAAGTTATTGATAATTAAGCTCATTCTTAAAATCCTAGTGGCAGAATAAAAAGAAAAACGAAGAGTGAGTAGTTATTCATTGTGTTTATTGAGTCATATTTAGGTTATAATTCTACTAACTGTAAATAAAGGAAGTATTGGTTGTGAACCTACTCCAATACAATCATTATTCGTACTCTTGAATGTAGATTAAGAATATCCCTCTGGGAATATTCAAATATATTTTACTTATTATTTGATCATAAACAGTAAAAATTTGTGTACAGGTTGATATCTCGCTTAAAACTAATTCACTAATTTTTACATAATCTTCACAGTCAGCAAGATTTAAAATAGAAGAATTGGAAAAAGGGGGAGAAAAGTAACTTGTCAACAGGAGAAAGACAATGAGAAAAATGTGTGAAAAAAAAGAAAAACAAATTGACATTTATACGAATATTCGTCAAGATTAGAGTGAATAGTTTGACAGTAATTGGGCGCCAAGTATAGAGAAGTCATTATATGCGAAAATTTTATTTGAAATATTCTCAGCGATTGAAATTTAACTAATTCCAACGTTTCGTCCAGCTAACTTGTCTGGACTTCTTCAAGGTAATAATCCAGACAAGTTAGCTGGACGAAACGTTGGAATTAGTTAAATTTCAATCTCTGAAAATATTTCAAATATAATTTTCACATAAAATTGACATTTAGCTTGTCATAAAATAAGATTTTTATTCATCTGAAAGCGTCATCATGTTAATTTATTCATTTTTATTCATTGTGGTCATCTAAGAAAAGAAACCTACCTAAAGTACATTACATCCTTCTTACAAATTTACATTACATTATCTTATCCAAAGTGCTTGAAAATTAGAAAAAGAAAGAAACAATTAATGTGACTTACATTAATTGTTTTAAAATTTCTTACTACTTAAAATACATGTAGCATCATGTATGCTTATTCATGTATGGAGAATTCCAGATATTCAATTAATGATTAATGAATAACTATCCTGAAATCTTATTTTTCGTGTAAAATAAATAAATACACAATCAATATCATACATTGTATTTGTTTTTAGAAGTTGCTGTCCGTCTACAACACTAGTTTCTTTTAATAAAAGTAGATCATTGACATTTAAGTTGTATTGCACGTCTTACTCGGTAACGCACAGCATTAGTTTTAATAATTACTGGAAATTTTATAAACATAAAGAGTAATTTTGAAAATATTTACTTTGTACACAATGGTTAAATCTCTAGTGGTATAAGTTTATCCATATAGTCTATAACACTGAAAATGTATTACATTTAAAAGAATCTATCAAAGTAAAGACGATACATGAAAGTTACTTTACTACAATTCTACATTGTTCATTGAAATTTGTTCATGATATTTCTTAGTGAAGCCTCTTTCCCAAACATGACTTAAGTTGTTCTAAAGGAAGAATATAGTTTTTCACTGAAACAATAAACTTATTCCAATGATTCGACATTTTTTTATTCCATTTGAATGTAGATAATTAAAGTGTATAATTAACAGAATTACATTTATCAGTAAACACAATAGGGAATCGAAAGATATAAATGAAATCTCAAATTTCCATAGCGTACAATTATATTGATCGTTAAATGGTGCAGTACGTACATATTCAGAAAGGCCCAAACCCATAGAGTTATTATCCGTTTTAAAATAATCTCTAGTTTACTAGGAATAAAATAGACTCAATTTTGTAGATTAGTTGAAGTCAGACATTAATACGGTTGGATGCCGGCTCAGTAGTCCAGTGGTTAAGCACACGCGCGTGAGACTGATAGGTCGTGGGTTCAAATCCCACGGGGTGGGGTTGTGGATCCACACTGCTGAGGAGTTCCACCATAGGGCGAAACGGCCGTCCAGCGCTTTTAGGTTTTCCATGGTTGTCTAGCTTTAATTGACTCATGATCTCAACTATTAAAATTACTACAATCTCCATAAATTCCCTTCTGATACTAAAATGGTTTTTATTACAAATTACAACCAGAGAAGTGTTAAAAATTGATGTTTTTCATACCTGTTGGATATTTGGATCATTCCTTGTTCACACTCTATGGCGTTCAATATTTCATTATATTTCTAAAACTTTAATCAAATATTGTTCTACCGTATTACAATCACAGATAACGTACAAATTAGTTGAATCATGCCTAATAGAGGCTTTCATTAGGTAATAATGACACTTCAATAGTGATTTTCCCAAAGTCATAAAAATAAAGAAAACAAGTCCTCACAGATGATCTTTTATTACTTCCAAGAAAGTTATACTATGATACAACTAGTTTGCTTATATAATAACAATGACGACCTTTGGAATATAAAACAAATTGATAAGTTATAAAAGAAACTAATCAGTCAGAGAATAGTCGAGTTTAATGTGGCATGTTAACATGGTATTTCGACAGAAAGGGAGGAAAATAGATAAGTTGAAGCTTTCTTAGCAGTCGTCAAGTTTTAACTTTCTGATCATAGTCCCAATCCGTTAAAAATACAAAAGTCAAACTAAAGTTATTTTTAGTTTGTAATTCAATATATTGTCAACTTAACAAGGGAGGATCAACAGTATTTTATTTTCATAAAAAATTCAACTAACGGATGGTTATTTTATTTTAACAAGTTAGCTCTCTAATTTGGAACACTCAGTAAGTAATCACAATAGAAGTGTTACGAAAAAAATGATCTATTCTACAACTTACCACTCAATGTTATTTTTGTCCTATCTCATGATTACTATTAAAATTCATAGGGACCCATGTCTCATTTAACTCTAGTCCCTTCAACTTACTTATTTTACAAGCATAACAAAGTGATATATACTTCTTCAATGTTCACAATTACATTATTAGCCTAAAAAAATCTCTAGTTATATATAAACATTACGTATAGTAAATTTGACCTATGAATTCATCTGAAAGTCACATTCTATTCGGAAAATACACATAGATAACAACAATATAAATTGTGAATTCTAATAAATCCAAAAATACCACTTTAAAAAAAGAACCATGATACATTTATCCCAATGATATTGATTATTGATACGGAATAAATTTTATTTTAATCATTTAAAAAAAGAAGTTTATCCGACTACTAACAATCATGATAAATCAATAATTTTTTCTCCCTCTCTCCCTCTCCCCTCCCCAGTACTTTATTAGTACTTCATTACAAATAACAGTACAACTAATGAACAAATAATAAAAAATATAATCAGATTTTGTGCCAAATCAATTTGTAAACTAGTTTAAACATGTGTACAAAAAAAAATAATAAATTTCTATAAATAGAATGTCAATTAATTCATTAACTGTTGTTTGTTTTTGTTTCTCTCATTTGAAGATATTCAATTCATGAATTCATTAAAATGATTGACCTATTTGATATTCTCTAGTCATATGAGTCATAAGGAATACACAGTGAAAATAGTTTTTTTTTCGTGGTGTGTTTAGTTTTTTGAGAACACCTACGCATAAAAAATATAACAAGAGTTCAGTGTTGTGAATTAAGTTAAACATAATTTTGTTATGTTAAAATAAATGTTACACTCAAATTTGATTTTGTATTGTTTATTTAAATCTTTCTATTGATGTTTAAGATTGTAATTGATTAGTCTCTTATTGGCATATATGTATCTTGTACCGATTGTTTCGATACTGCTAACCACTAGCCAACTTTACTTATAAGCCTTGTGACATAAAGTAATATTGAGGCAATACGCACAGGATGAATATATGTTAATAACAGACTGATTTAAGCATCAATGGGAAGATTCAAACAAACAATACAAATAAATTTAAACGTCAACCTAATACGCTATTAAGATTCAATAGTTAAGTGGATAACGCAATGGCGTTTAAAGTGAATGGTGTTGGGTTCGTGTCATGGACTCCCTGCTAACCACCAACCATTTTTACCTTATACTCATTTATGAATGGCAACTTATGAAGTAGGTCACATTTTCAATGTATCACTAAT